TATGTAAGTTCGATTTCCAATGATAAATTGTCTTTCTTTTTTCTCACTAATTATTAAAGTTCATTGTCAATGTTTTGTGGTCATCTCTTAATCTTGTACCTTTAATAATGGTTTTTCTTATTATGCTTTTAAGCTATTTTTTAAACAATTTAGATTATTGCACATTTTTCACATATCTGACCCTTAAACCTTAACCCAATTGATTTATTTGTTTAACCGTGTTTAATCTTAATAAACTAATAAGTTTGCAATAGTTTAGGTCGGAAATATTTTTAATGATTTACTATTATATTGCGAACAATAAAATCATATATAATGTTATAATGTTAGTTTTATGTTTGAAATGAAATATTGTAACCAAAGGTACTATTGCGCTACCATCTACTACTATAAAATTAATCTATAAAAACTTTTCTAGTTCCGCCATACTAATGAGTTTTAGAATATCATCTGAATTTAGCGTTATTGATTTGTTACTCGAAATTAAGTATGATCTCAAGTACTATTGTCGGTTTTGTGTTAGTACATTACATTCCTTTAGTATATGGTCTGATAACAAAGTTTCTTAATCGTATAAATTATAGAGTTTGATGCAATAACTTTACTGCTAAAATATTCCTTAAATATTAATAACCCGTACTTAACCTACTTAATTAGTAGTAAATTAATACTTAATACTTAAATAATTTTACTATTGTATAACACTTGACTAATAGGATTTTAGTTTGCTCTAAAATTCGGTTCAGCATCCATTATTGTCATGTAAGCTTCAGTTCTGCCAAGTTCATTGATTTACTCATTTCTCTGACCTTCTGTATTTAGGCACCTAATAGAGACTGACTTAATTAATCTAGTATGATTTAGTTTCTGTTGAAAATTCCATACTTATTAACTTTTGACTTGGTTAGTGCTCGATTGGTAACATGACATTCTTAGCGTAAGACTATATGCTGACAAAACTGCTACTATTTCCACTTGGAAATTGCTTGAATGGACTCTAATGAGCTCTGCCAATTTTCAACTTATCGCAATTCAAGTAAGAATCACGTTGAAAATATGTAAATGAAAAATTCGATCGCTTTGTCACTATTCCCCAGATGTCACTTTATCAATTTAATACTTGCTCTGATCAATACAAAATGCTCTTTAATCCAAGCACTTCAGAAACTACGAAGATATCCAAAAGGGACTCGATGAATGAGTCCCATCAAAAGACAAACAATTTCTTTTCCATGGAAAAGTTATTTGTATTGCGATAATATAGTATTTTTTGTCTAAACCATATTCCTTAAAAACCTGGTCTAGGATATGTTATTATATGATATCACGTGAAGATAATATACAAAAAAAAAAAAATAAAAATTTAAGCTCTTAAACATATACGTCCATAAAATATGATATTTTTAATGTAAGACCCTCAATGTAAGTCTTAGGAGTCGAAAACACACATTGAGCGAAAAACATTATCGGAATGTGTTATGATAGTATAAATGTGTTCCTAAACACATAGTTTAGGAATGTGTTGTGTACCTATAATAAAATGACCACAATGCGAAATTTCTGTTATGCTCTTGTGGTACTTGAGAAGTTTCACTATAAAAATGATGAGATATTTATCAAGAAAAAATTTAAGTCTTGTTATATGGTTGCAATACTAAAATCTGTTTAAATTTATGAATATTGTTGTAAGTTGCAGAAGATTAATTATTAAAGAAAATATTTATTTTTATAGTTACTTTTTGTATGCTAATCTGACACATAACAAATATGTTATTGTCAATTTAAATTTTAAAGTAAATTCTAAAATTTTTTTTGTAAGTGCTGCCAAAAATTCAATTAATCAAAATAATAAAAATAGTGTTGTTGTAATTCACTACTATTCGAAACCTTAATAAATTATTTTTATAATAATGAAGTCAAGAAAATTCGTCTAAAAGTTTTAGTTGAAATTTAGAACTTAAGAATATCATTTTGAATTACGTCAGTAAAGGTGTATAATTTGAATTAAATGCTTTAAGTCTAAGTCTTGAACCAGAAGTCTTAGTTAGAGTTTAGATCTTGAGAATATCATTCTGAATAATATATAAACTATACAATATTTTATGTCAGTAAAGGTGTATAATTTGAATTAAATGCTTTAAGTCTACGTCTTGAACCAGAAGTCTTAGTTAGAGTTTAGATCTTGAGAATATCATTCTGAATAAAAAAAACTATACATTATTTTATGTCAGTAAAGGTGTGTAATTTTCATTGAATGCATAAATATTTAGTTGTAGTTCTTTAATATATTTGTAATTAAAAAATTTTGTTCTTTAGTTTCGATATAAAAAATATTTCGTAAAATTTGAACAATACCAGCATTTCTTACTAAACTTATTCATAAATATAATTTGAGTCTTTATGTATGTATATTCCAAGATTATTAGCAGTGCATTTGCATAATCAAATGTGTTACACTTTGCATTTATCTTCCATTGTTTCTCGTTGAAAGTAACACCTAACAGCTAACACCTAACACCATCGCAGAAGTATAAAATCATTGAGATATTGGATTTAATTAATGCAGAATTTATGTGTGTCTTGCGTAGTCATATTTTGAGCTTATTTATCATACAATGCGGGCATTCATCATTTGTAGGCATTGCATTAACCGGCAGGCCGTCTGCCATCTACCATCTACCATCTGCCATCTGCCGGTATGTTGTGTGTGCCAAATGGTTTTGAAATTTTGTATTTCTTCGCTGCCTAATTTTTAATTTAATAAATTCGCATAATGCTGGGAAACAAAAATAATATAAATTTTGTGCGATTTTAATTCCTGCTCAGCAAAGTTTCGCATTTTAAAAACACCTTAAGACAAAACTGCCACGGAGCCGCCTAAAAAGCAAATATTTGCACAACAACAATTTCTGAATATGCATCTGCATACATCAGCTTGAAACGCGATAACTGAAAATTTTAAGAAGAAAATTAATTTGCGGTACTTACAACTTAGCACAGCCAGTGAAAGGCTATGCAACACTAAACTCATCCGCATTTGTGGAACTCAGACGAAAATGAACAGCAGCAGTCGACGCTGAAATTAGCACAATTGCGGCGTTTGAGATATTCGCTCCGAAATAATTGTGACCTGTAAACGGCCAAGAGTGAGGCGTAAGCTCTAATTAAACCATCAAAACAAATACAGTCCGAACTCACGGATGATTTACTCACGGCAAAGGTGCGATGCTAAGTTGACATAATAATTTTAAATGCTCGCAAAACCATTGCAACCCAAAAGCGCCAAAAATTGCAGATATTGCAAAACAGTTGCTTTTCAGTCAAAACAATTGTTGACGATGGCTGATTGTTGATGGCTGATGGTTGATGGCTGATGGTTAAATGCGCGCCTGAATGGACTTTGTTTGGTGATTGCATATTAGGTTTCTGCACTAAAATTAGCAAAAACTCATTTACTAAAGTTAAGTTCGTTGTTATCATATCAAAACTGCTAACGGCAGCGAGCTGAAGATTAGCTGAAGACTAAGACGTCGACTCAGACGTCAAAACTCTGCAATATTACAAAATTGGCAGTAAAAAATCTGCAACTCAAAAGTATCGCCATGAGCCATTTTTTATTTAAATGTTTTTCCTAATATTAGTCTGAAGACATCCGCTCATGTGGTGCTCATCCAATTACACTTCACATTCCACAGATGTTCTGCTTAATTAACTTAAATTAGGTTTTAAAGTGATTCAACTTTTGTTTAGAGCTTTGAAGATACTTCATCATGATTATGTCGAACGTTTCTCTTCTTGACATTATGCCAACCTAAGCATTTACAGTGCAAACATTTTTGCATACAGAAATGAATCAGCAATTTAAGGTTAACTTAGTACATATATATTAAGCTGAAAAACTTTATAAGAGTGTGACTTCGGACATCAGATACTAAAGATTCTTGTCAAGGGCAAAATAACAGAAAAAACGATCAACTTACTAATGCCGTTTTCGATTGGTAAATCTGGTGTAAGTTTTTCAATCAAGATGTACTTTTAGTGTCATTTTCATTTTCGATTAGTAAGTTTAGCACGAAATTTTTGAACACTCGAGATTAAGTTATAATACTCTAGATATTTTGCCAGAGTAGCAAGTTTACCCTGAAATTGTGATTTGATTCGATATATAACTTTATAAAAAATATAAATGTCTATTATTATTATTATTATTATAATTAGTGGATGTGGCACTGTGACCTTCGCGTTTATTGTACCACCTTCTGGGTTTAGAGTAGGCCACCAGCACATATATCGCCCATACCTCATTCTCTTCGCAGAATCTACAGTTCGCATACCCAGTTTTCTGAGGTGGTATTTTAGTTTACAGTGCCCTGTTAGGTTTCCTGTGTTGGTTCTAAGTTTTTCTTTTGAAAGGTTCATACAAACCAGGTATCTCTTATTGTTATAGGTACCAATAAGTGATTTGGTTTGTGTTATACTTGGTATATTATCCCAGTAACCTTTTTTATTCCGGTTCTTCTTTATTTTTATGAGAACGTTTATTAACTAACTACAAAAATTTTAGATTGTTGTAAAAATGTTCGATTAGGTAAAATAATCAGAAAAATAATTTGGTTGATTTAATGTGATATTAACTGAATCTTATGTCAAAATATTCGACGCAACATGTTGGTTCCACTATAGCAATATTTTGGTTTTCATATCTTTTTAGACTTCTGCGCCTTTTTTATTGTTTTTGCGGAGAGGAGGTTTAAAAATGCCTAACGCATAGTCACTGTGTCGTCACAATAGTGGTATGCCCGGTTTGTATGGACCTAAAACAATCTCCCTCATGTACCAGGCGCCTTGGTGTTAATATAATTAATACTCAAAATTTTATTTGAAATTTAAAAAAAAAATCTTTGGGCGTATATAGTTTAATTTTAAAATCTTCAATAAATATTTTTAAATAAATCGATTCTAAAAAATTATTTAAATTGTTTTTATTTTTTTTTTTATAGATATTAGAGTCTAGTAATGAGGAACCACGTCCACCGAATGAGGCAAATGGCAATACATTGAATCAGCGCGCTTCTTGGCTAAGTAAACTCAATGCTTTGGATGCCATAGAAGCACCAAGAAAATATGCTGGAACTCATAGTGCTTACGAAAATGGACGTTACTACTAAAATAAACTTTTCAATTGGTATTTGTAAGATAAATACAAAAATGTTAAAAAACAAAAATTGACACTCAAAAATATATATGAAAAATGTCTTTTAATAAATGTATTAGATGAAAATAAATATTTTACAATAGTTAATCTTTCAAAATCATTTGAAGGTCTCACAAACAACCATATGGCACGGTACGGTTACAATAATTTTGATGTAGTCTCAGAAACCTATTTTAAAGTTGTATTAAAAATTATAAGTCTGGCTATGCTTTTTAAAATGTATTTCAAAAAACATAATTAAAAAACAATAACACAGAAAGTTCCTTACATATATTTATATATATATAAACGAATTAATAAATGTGTATCTTGATATATTGTAGTAATATATAAATGTGTGTAAAAAGATAAAATTTCAAAAAAAAAAAAAAATTAAAGCATAATTAAACAATTTTAAACAGTGTTTAAAAAATATTATTATATTATATTATATTCTGATTTTATGATGTCATAATTGTATTTTCTAGCAAATCGTTGAAATGTTGAAATATGAGATGTAATAATGGTAACGCAGGCTTTGAAGAAATCGGTAGTAAACAGATGAACATTTTAGAAAGTATCTGTCGTACTCAATATATATGAATTTATATAAAATATTTGCAAAACTAAATTTATATGGAAATTATTTTCGCATTCTTGTAAATAAACTTGCATTACATCAAATGTGGCTATGAATTGAGTTTTACTAAATACCACAAAAACTAAGAAACTCAATTTATATATTTATTTATACAATATTTATAATTAAATTCATTTAAGCTTAATTTTAATTATAATTTCTTTATAGTTATTTTTGGATTAATTTTAATAATAATAATATGGTTATTTTTAAGAAATAACTTGTAGTTTATGTATTTTAAATGCAAAGGAAATCATTTGAATTTCATAATAATTCTTTTATTAATTTGAAGAATATATTTAATATAATTTTTGACAGCCCCAAATAATGTCACTTATTTTTTTTTCAGAATTTTTTGTTATTGTTTTAAAACTAAATCAAATAATTATATATTTCAAAAATAATTCTAAGATTGCATTGCATGTAAATTTCATGTAGTATTAACAGCTTATTATTTAAAAATCAAAATAATATTGTTTTAAATAAAAAATAAACACACATGTATTATCAAAAAATGCAATAATTTTCTAGTAGTTTCAGATATAAATATATACAACATAATTTATATACCTAATATATAACAAGAAATGAAATATTTTTGAGCAAATTATATACTACAAATAAATAAAGTATAGTATTTATTGTTGAATAAAAGTTTTAATTATGAGCAGTTAAATTATCTTTAATCTGATATTAACCAATTTTTATATAGGTCAAAAGCGAAGTTTTTATCCCACATTAAATTACAAAAAGGATTCATTTTACTGTTTGAAAGTACTAAATTTGGAAAACCATGAAAGAAATGTTAGCGTTTAGGTATTGATCTGCTCCTTAAGATCCCAATTCAGTTTATTTAGTAGGTACAGAATTGTACTTGGAACTATTCTATGCCGCTCCCACTAAAGCGATGTTATCGCGTTAACAACAAAAGTTGTAATGTTGCCCAACCCCGCTCTAACAAACCTTAAGTCCATCTCAGGACGCACAGGAAGATATGCTGATCTACGGTCCATCATCAGTTAGAAAATAAATAAATGATAATGATTCTAGTATAGTTAAAGTTTAGTGTGGGGCAGGGATAAGCCCCCCAACCACAATAGGGTAAAAGCGCGCAATAGCACTAACTCAAATCATGACAACAACAACAACAGCAACAACAACAACAACAACAATTAAGGCACGCATACTGAATGACGGTCTGATCAATCTGTTATAGCAACATTTTTCTATACTTTTAAAAACTTCAATCAGCAGATGTGCTTAATTAATAAAGAGTAAAGCGTTTATATATACTCAATATGTGAATATATAATATTAAATTTGAGTAAGAAAATCGGTAGAATTATCTATGCAGAATTATCTATAAATTGCAGCAAAATAGAGCATGAATCGTTTAAACAACCAGAGTTAGTAGAATACAACTCTGATGCTTTAAATTAATAACGAAACTTATAAATTTTTTATAATTCATATAAATCTTAAGAAATTTCTTCAGGCCGGAAAGAACGTTCCCCATAAAATTGTGGATATCACAAGACTAAACCATCATCCATGTAATACAAAAAGGAATGGAGCTGTGACTTTATGGAAAAAAACTAGAGTGAAATTAAATGAATGCTATTACAGAGATTTTAATTATTAATTTCAATTAGTTTTAATTCCAACTCTTATGCAGAAATTCTTTGAGACTTGATAATAGCTTTCTGAAGCATATACTATTTATTGATACCTACTTGGTATTACGGTTTTTGCAAGGAATGAAAGTTCATATATACATATATAGTATATGTGTTATTTATTCAGAATAATTTTGATATAATAAAATTTAAGATTAAAATAAAGGTTTCATGCGATATAATTTCTATTCCAATATTACAAAGGATTCGGCTTGTTAAATAGTCAATGGGGACCAAAAAACGTGAAATATTGTATTTATTTCTAGGTATTTGCTGAACCATGATCATCGCCACCAAGATTGCTCTCATAGCTTTTGCCAATATTAAGAACGAACATCTTACCGAAGTTGTATGTTGCTTCCAAGTCCGCATTTATAAAAGCTTCTACATCAATAGTATCATGAACTGCAGATTTTAATTGGTATAAATAAATTTCAGAATATGAAAAAAAACGATTACATTACCTGAATTTAGCCAAGGTGGTAAGTATCCCGCAGCAGAAATAAGACCCAATCCACTTGTGCTCAAAATCATAAAAAATGTGTTTAACCATTTTTCATTATCGTGGATACTTCTTACATCTTTATGGAATTTTGTTTGAAATTCTATGATTGGTCTCACACAATGTTGATCCAGATTGACATCTCTGCTAGGGATTAAATTACGTTTTAAATGCATGAGTATTTTATTGTAGCTGTACATCAGTTGCTTCTTTTTCTCAACTAGTTCTGTCACTATTTTCTTAGAATCCTCAATAATACTCTTCATTTCTGACTCAAACTTTTTCTTGTTCTCAGCATATTGATGTTTAATATTATTTACGTTGTTTGAAAGTAGTTCAACCTCTGTGTTATTCAATGGATAATCCTCGAGTGTGAATATGTCGGATAGCAGGAGGCTGTCCATCTTACTTTCTACATCGTTGACTTTATGGAGCTGATCAGTACACAATTCCTGAAATTTATTGTGCTTCTGCATTAATTGCCATATTAGCATGAAAACTGAAAATTTAGTTGTGCTAAAGAAGCATGTATCAAGTTCCATTATTAGTTCTTCGCAAATAAACTTCAAGGCCAAAATTATATGTATTCCGAAACGATTTTATGAAATATATTTTTTCATTTGTCATAGAAACTTTTGATTTAACAAGCTTTCAATGTTTATGAGTTTTAAAAACAGGGTTGCTGTGGGAATCAAAATCCTGGTTTTTGTATTAACCATTTTACGTCCAGTGTTGCCTAGTGGCACTATTGTCACTATGCATTGTAAAAATAAACTGTTGTTGATTACATTTACTATTTTCTTATATTTGTCCAATTCGCTGTTTTAATCTTATATGTTAAAGGACAATCTAGGATGAAATTTTGAAATGTCGAATATTGAAAGATTGCTTGTCTCTTTTTTTTTTGCCATTCGCTAAAATTCACTTCCATATGTGGCAAAGATCACAGTACGATCATATATACCTTTATAATAATCTTTTTAGATATGATTTTGAGCATGGGATTTGTTTAAGCCATAAAAACTATATTAGCTGTTTAAATTCTGTTCTTTTCAGAACAGAATTCAGAACAATTACCTCAATTAATTGGATCTGATCAACACTATTTTCAGACGACAGGATACATAGTGAATAAACTCAAATACTAAAAAAAATCGTTATTTAAAAATTATTGGATGCTCTGTCAACACCAAAGTCATATTCTAATAGACTTTGAGAGGGCACCGAAACTCCCTTAGAGCTTCAGACAGAGCCTGTGTTAGTATCTCAATGAAATGTGCCTTTTAAATTGATATCTATCTGCAGCTTTTGTGAAATAAAGGTTGAATCTTATGACCATTTACACTTGAAGAATACCAAAGTGACATGCAGCGGACTTATTTATCTGTGGAACAGACTTATTGATAGTTATAAGATGTAGAATAATACGAAACAGTCAAAGGTGTTCAAGTTAATTAAATGCTAAGTGATTGATTCAAACCGCTAAAGTTAGTAGAATCATCTGAATCATCGTGTGTAACATTTTTCAATACATGAATGATATTAATAATTCAATGGCGATTGATAGGAACGATGGACTCTATAGGATCTCTATAGTGCTGACTTTTTCATCAAGTAACTTTCGTTTTAAAATTGAGGCAGTAGAAATAGATTTGTGACTTTACAGTTGACATGCTCCGTTGACAGAAAATAGAAAGGCGATTAATTGACAAATAGCTTATTAATTTTTTTAAATCATTTTCAGATTTCGCGGGATGAAATAATTTTAAAATAACTTTATTTAGTCTTACATAAAAAAATATAAACTTATCGACTATTATTAATTATATTGAATGGAAGACAGCTTTTAGAATTTTTAGCTCTGCTTTTATTTACGGAACATTGAAACTATTGGCAATCCACACTATATAACTAATAGAGGTATTCATAACCTGGCGTAATACGCTCGCTATTCGTGTAACATGGTAACACTGTAAAGTTTTAAAAACATGATAAATGTATACAATATCCATTTTATTATTGCCGCTTTGTACTTTACTATATTACTCGGTTACCGAGCTTATCTAGTGACATCGTGAACACCCAAATAAGTTTTTAAAGCAATTATCATCCAAAAGATGTTTAATCTTTTGTTTACCTTTCGGAACTATGTTCATCCAATTCACCATATTCGATTAAGAACGATTTATATGCAGATACATCATTAAAAATATATCTCGGCATCAAATTTTAATCGTTTATACTATACGTCACAGTTTCAGAAATAAAGTAACCATAAACTTGAAGTTTTTTTCATTTAAGTTGGAGTAGAATTATGTGTACTTAGGTGTGAAATTGTTTTGTACTTCTGTCTGCACCTGTTTCTTCTTCTTTACAAGCAACTCTAATTTATATAATCCGATTCACTTAAATTTACCTAAAGTAATACTAACCTAAGTCAGTGAAGCTTTTGTTATGATTATAAAAGTATTTAAATTTTAACACTTCCCGTTTACGTGTACGCCTAATTAAATTTAATTATCTCCTAATATAATTACGAAATAGTCTTTAATAGCACAATGTTGAAGTAAGCCAGTAAAATGTAAAATAAAAACTATTTTTAAAAAGTTCATATTATATAAATAATATAAGAAAGCTCATCTCAAAAGATTTTTATATATAAAAATACTAGTGTATTTAGTTGTCACATTATCTGCAATCTATAAAATATTTAAACAGACATTAAAAATAATATATCGTCTCATCAATATAATTAATATAATTATAATTAAAATTTGTATCGAAACGTTAATTTGCATTAACTTTAACAATAATTACTATGATAATTAATATAAAGTAAGAGTACCCATATGTGAATAGGTACAATATAATTATAATAAAAAAATATTATATTATATTATTATTATTCAATATTATATTATTGAATATTATTCTAATATTCAATATACCATAATTAAAAAAAAAAAGTTCCAATAGTCATGACGTCACAAATGACTTCATAGTAGTCAAATTGTGAATTGCTATAAAGTCTTGCTAGAAAGTTTTTCATCTTCAAGATATGTTGTATTCCACCGCTCTAAGGTTAAAGAAAACACTAATAGTCTTTTAGTAAACTCTATTGCTAATCCATTGGCATCACTGTCGCATTTTCGTAAATATTTTCGTAGATGACTGGTTTTTCAAAATCTAAAAATTTTCCATAAATATAAAAATTAATTATTTACTATTGAACTATTTAATGAACATAAATTTATTAATTTGTTAATAATATCAATTTTTTATGCCTTCATAATTTTTTTGTACTTTTCACATATACAATTAAAAAATTTTATCTTTTCCACGTGTGTTTGTTTGTAAGTATCTTTGGACATCACAATAGTTTTTCAACAAAGAATAACTCTTCACATCTGTTGGATGTTATAAAGCCCTCCTTCGACGAACATAACTCACTCTCTACAAGTCTCTTATTGTGCCCACCCTGCTGTATGGCGCAGAAGCTTGAACAATTACCAACAGTGATGAGAAGGGGTTCGGAGAATTGTAGAGAAAAACTATATAGTCCCTTACGCGTTAGCAACGAATATCGAATTGGATGGAACGATGAGCTATATGAGCTATACATCATAAACATTCAGCATCTTCGCTGGTTTGGTCATGTTGTGCGAATGAAGGAAAGTGCAGAGCTAGAAAGGTGTTTAATTCGGTATCCGCAGGTGGAAAACGCAGAAAAAGACTTTTAAATCTTTGCTAGAAGGATCAGGCAACCAGCGATATGGGGATGTTCGATACTACCAACTGGCGACAGCAAGTATCTAAGTGGGCTGGCTGGCGGAGACTACTCGACGCGGCCAAGAACAACTCACGTCGTAATGGCTAATTAAGTAAAGTGAGTAAATAATCCTGTCACATAGAAAATTTATGGAGTATAGCTTGTAACTTCTGTGTAGTGTAGGGTTAAATTTGTAATTAATTTAAATACATAAATGTTCTACATAAAAATATAAACTATACAAACTCCTTGCATGTTGTAATTTTATATCGGAATATAATTCTCATCTTGTTCATTTTGTAAATATGATAATAATGATAAACTACATATGACAATCGGTACTACTTTAATATTAAATTTTCACAAGTCAATTGTTACGATCAGACACATTGTATGGCACTCTAATTCTTGTTTGAACTTTGAAGTAATGTAATAATGTAATGAATATACCATATAATATATCATTAGATAATGACTGCTTATACGAATCGATGGAGTTTACTTAGTAATATTTAAAAATTGAGGTTTTAAGTCAAATTATGTGCAATATGACAGTTTTAATTCATTGCTTAATTAACTTGTTTATAGTATAATATAATCAAAATTTTTTCAAGAAATTTTTGATTTTTAATTTAGACCATTACACTGTATCTATGAGTATTTACTTCTAATCAAATATTTTGATACCCTAAACTTCATAATCTTGTGATAGATTAGGTATGCAGTCTCACGGAAAATTAGGACCGGATAATAAATATGGCAGATATATTGCTCTTTAAATTGGTGGAAAGTTAATAATCCCCTCACAGCAAAAAATCTGTTACCATTGAAGTATAATCTATTTTATTAGAAAAAAAGACTACACAATATTTTATTGTACTTTTTATATCAAAAGAAAAAGGCTTTCTTATTATCTAGAATTTGTTGGCATTTCCTAACAAGTTTTTCAATACAGAATTTTTTATTCTTTAAGAAATGTAATTTTTAATATTATTTATTTTTTAATTAATATCGACTTAATAAATGTTTATATTACCAGATTATCTACAATCTTATTTTTAATGGTTAGCTAATCGACATTCCATATATTTTTTCTCAATCACGACTTTTTCAATAAACTACACATCTATGCACTCATATCTCTCTGCGTAGCATAACGGTGCCTTCTTTCTGTAGAAATAATAGCACAGCGTTATCTATCCGTCAATAACGATTTCAACTGAATATTGAAAATTGAACACAGCTGAGAGCTAATGGCGTCAATTAAACACAGCTTATATACTTACAGCCATGTTTTTCATCTTTATAATATAAATTATTTATCAACCGCTGAATGTGAAGTAATTTTGAAAAAATTTTATAGAAGAATTGTAATTCTCCAGTAGATACATTGCAAGCATTACTAGGAAGTAATGGTCCGTATAATGGTTAAAATTATCATACCATAATTAAACAAATCTGTGGAAATTCGATCTATTAAAGAGCAGCTAAAGACTACATATCACTACTATATACCTATATTCGGCTGAATATTTAAAATACTTCTTTTGAATATTCATTAATAATATCTTATAAAGAAATTCTTCGCATCACCATATAAAAAAAATTGAATTATTTTTTCAAAATGTTATAATAGTAATTTTGTCCAATAACTCTTAATCATAACTCTTATTTATTTTAGAAGAATAACATTCTAAGACTATTAAAACTGTGTTGCTGACATATGATAAATTAATTTCCAAATGATGCGAATCCAAAACTATGTAGACCCATCAAAGTATTTTTTCCATTTAACCAGAAATGGGTAAGTTTTATATTGCTACATTAAGATTCA